CCGCGCCTACTGAGTGGTGTCGTTTCCCCGCGACGAACCAGACTGGTAGGCGTTGGGGGCGATGGCTCGAAGAACCTTGGCGCGCCTTGCGCAGGGGCAACTGCTCCACAGGTGACGGGTGTCTCCACAGACAAAACACCGTCGTGTGTTTACATGCTGCCCGGCAGCTCGAAGCTCTGCCCCCTCGTCCTCAGCATAGCTGAGTTCTACGGGATAGGCCCGCTCGACGAGCTGTTGGAGAGTGCATTACAACCAAGTCGTGCCAACTTGAAATTGTATTCGGCATTCAATGCCACATTCACCGCCGTACTGTGATGAAAATAGAAGCGTACGTCACTGCCGTGGACGGATGCACACGGAAGACTTCCATTCTGGACACGCCAGTGTGGAGGCCTTTCGCCTCCGGCAAGGGATATGCTGCCATTCCGGCAATGAGAGCTCGCATCTCGTGGACGAAGGCCACCAATTCCTTCTTGTCCTGTCGGTCGGCAAGAAAGCGCGATCGCACGCGATACGCTTGATTAATCGGAGAGAACACTCGTGAGAGCTGCAATTTTAGCTCCGCCCAGGAGGTAAACGCAGCTTCGACCAAAGTGCCGCACGTCAGTGCCCATTCTTGCGCTCGACCACCGAGCTTTGAGATGGCAAGCGCCACGCGCTGTTGCTCGGTCTGTAGCATGGCGGATGCGATGGCCATCTCGACCTCTCTCACCGATTCTCTCCATCCTTCCCCTCAAAGACCCTAACGCTCCGTGAGCGGCTTAGGTCGGGAAAAGTTATCCATCACCGACGTTGGCGTCATAGACGCAAAAGATGCAGACATCTTTGCTGCACAGGTGCACAAGCAGCGCATTTTCGTAACTCGAAAACGCCTCTAGACGCGCACTGATTGCCTCGGGGCCTTGTGCCACAAGGTGTTGCACGCCCTCAGGGCCAAGCAAGGACAGCAGCTTATTAAGCCCGTCCTGCATGCCATGGGAAAATCCTACATTCTCACAGAGGATCAGTCGAAACGACTCAGGTGTAGATTGACTACAAGTGCTACTAAGTGCAGCGGGGCTGCCGTAGCAAAACGCTTGAGAAAGCGTACTTTAGGTCATGGGACTTCGTTCTTGACAAGAATCAAGTACTAGTGCAGCGGATCGCAATCCGCTGCCTCCAAAAGTACTTAAAAGCCTTAACCAAGGCAAACGAACGCTTCTGCTCAAAGTTGAAACCGATTTTGATTAATTTTTTAATCTAATTTTACAAGTTTAGATTTTCCTAAATATCCAAAATATATAGATTGTAAAATTCAAATACATGCATGATTATTGGCTACCTAGCCACATACCGTATTCTTGTTTGGGTGCAGTCACACCATGCACATCTCGGTTGACACACACCCCTGTTACCAGGGTACGTGTAAATCCGTTACAATCTGTTAGTCTTACAAGCTTAGATTGTCGGTACCAAGTGAGAAAATTTGCTTTCTCTTACCAAACTCAATTTGTCGTTTGGGCGGAAGAAAGTATACAGGACATCCATATAATAAAAAGAGTCTTTAGAATCTAGGAGGACTGCATGTCACGGGTGCTCCTCCCGTGATAATTTCATTATTTCGGTGATCTCATCGTCTAAAAACACTTTGTGTACATCCCCAGAAATAACAGCCCGAGTTGTGTCTGAAACAATCCAGATGCATCAAGAGACGAAAATCCCAAACTTTCCGAAAACTCTTTTCGCCTACACATTTAAATTGTGTTTACAATAGAATAGATTTCTCTTGCCACTGGTGGTTGTAATTTTAACAAACCTTCACTATAATGAATTCATACTAACAAATTTGTGCATTGTGTTATACACATATTACAGTTCTTTGCATTTGTGCCGAGCTAAGGCTCTTGATTTTGCTCATGTACAAACCAATCGCTTTAGTGATAGACACCGCGACCGCTTCCTTAGTACGATACTTCTGTAGCATTCAACAATGACTTCGGAGTTAACATTCAAACATACATCGAGCAAGCCCTGCTTATATATAGAGATTATCAATTGAAGCAGTACTGCATACTTTTATCGTCTGATTTATAGCTTAGTATTGAATGCATTGCGTGTCCACTGTGTATCGTACATTGTTTTCAATAGACCGATCATGGTACTTCATCATGATACTACTTTGTAGAAAAATCTTTATGCTTGGCTGCTTTGAGTGAGCATACGATAAGACATTGTGAGCGCTAACCTGGCGATTCTTTAGCCACAGTCAGTTAAGATAACAACACCAAATTTATTGTTAGTATTACATCGAGTCATACAGATAACAAATAAAGTGTAGAACAAAGTAATGAAATCATCTACTCGTTATCCGATAGCCGGTATTAATAAAGTGACATCGAACCTACTTTAACCCAACTTGTATCGCCATAACTTTGCAAAACCAAGAGAGAGCTTCGTCCTCGCAAAGTACACGGAAGTCTAGCTCGATTTCGATCCTGAACCTTTATCCGCTTTGTCATGGGAATGATTTTTGTGAAATTTGTAGACGCCGTAAAACGCAGCAGCAACAAGACCCGACATACCTACCCAAGTAGCAATCGACTTGATTGTGCTGGCTTTCTTCACCCCCATGTGTTCAATGGAACTACGCAATTTTTTCACTTCCGCTTCAGATACTAATTCCTTCAGCTCCTGTAGAGTCATTTTCCCTGTTTTACCATCAGTGTAGAGTATTGGTCCTAGAATTTCTAAGGCCTTCTCATACTCTTTCGGTGTCAATGGGATCTCTTCGATAATCTTGGCTCCAGCGCTATGTAGACGACGTCCTTGACGGTTACGATGGAGTGTAGTGTCACTGACTGCGAGACAGGAGGTATACGCGATTGTTGTTGCGATGAGAAGAATGTGAAGTATATTGAACTGCATTGCGTCGATCAAGATGCTTACAATGAGCCGTGCAGCCAATTAATGAGGAAAATCGAGAATGGTGAACTTAAAGGCCAAAGCCTATAAAGCCAGCTTTTAAAATCCGATCAGCTTTTTCTCCCATATGTACCATCGAGAGTGAAGAGCGAGATTAGAAATCCGGATACCGATTAGGATGAGAGACGATACAGTCATATCAGGATGGTTGCACTCACTAACTAAAAGGAGTTACTGAGCTGAATATATATAGATGAAAAACAAAATGAGAGCGCACAAGCATCATGTTAACCCCAAGATACAACGAAACATTCGGGCGACTAATTCCATATGACTTGGTGGTAAGATACAGGCGTCATCAGACAATATATGTCTTTCAGCTTTCCTACTCGATGTGTAAAGCCAGCAATTTCTTCAAGCTCGACCTATCCATTGGGATCAGATGCCTTACAAGCACTCGACATGGCTAGCCAACTTCAAATGATATCTGAGCTTCATAATGACTACCATTTTAAGTTATAAGTGTACTCATTTTATAATATGGGTAACATTTTTTTATCAAAAAGGTATCTAATGGCATTACTCGGAACGTCTTCGACGGATGCTACGTCATTTACTCCTACGTCGGCGCTTCTCAAGCTCTTTTTTCACTCAAACATGGTGTTCATCGTTGGCTTTCTCTACATATTCAACGTCTAGAGAAATTGTGATGTTCAATTCGCTCTCAGGAAAGTATGAGTCACTCCCGCGAGAGACAGCTACAATGTCAAATGTTTTAAAATGGTATGCATGTGGGCCTACTGTGTACGACAGAGCTCACTTAGGTCATGCTAGAGCTTACGTTAGTCAAGATATTATGCGGCGAGTGGTTGAGCGTACAGGTGGCTATAAAGTACAGCTAGTTATGGGTGTGACGGACGTGGATGATAAGATCATCACACGCGCAAAGGAGCTCAACATGAATTTCGAGATGCTCGCGCGGGAACAGGAGCATCAATTTTTCGAGGATATGACTAGACTTTATGTCAAACCACCTACAGTAATTACAAGAGTGAGTGAACATATATTAGAGATCGTGGAGTACATCAAGGAGATTTTAAATCGAGGCTTTGCATATGAAGCAGTGGATGGTGTGTACTTTAGTACGCAAGAATTAGGTCACGAGTACGGAAAATTGGATCCACAACGACAACCTGTGCTATATGATTCAGTACCGATGAATGCACAAGGTGATAGAGTGGAAGACGACGAAAAGGTAAAGAGAGATCCTCGAGATTTTGCGCTTTGGAAGGCAGCAAAGGAACCAGATGAACCTGCGTGGCCGTCACCATGGGGAATGGGACGTCCTGGTTGGCATATCGAGTGTTCGGCAATGACTCATCATGTATTAGGGACAACTTTGGACGTACACACTGGAGGCGTGGATCTTCGATTTCCTCATCACAATAACGAGATCGCACAGTGCGAAGCTCATAATTTTGGACAATTATCGGAACAAGATCGACCATGGTGTAAGCATTTTGTTCATTTTGGTCACTTGCATATTCGTGGACGGAAAATGTCCAAGTCACTGAAGAATTTCATCTCGGTTCATGATTTTCTTACAAATGGACATACAGCGGATCAATTTCGCGTCTTTTGTCTGCAATTTAAGTATCGTGCCAATTTGATGTACTCAGAGGATCGAATACGCGATGCGGAGGCAGTAGTAGAACGTATACGAGGATTTTTCCAAGCTGTTGTAGCGTATGGCGAAAGGTCTCAACATGATGTTGACACGCAATGGGTTAAGTCAAAACGTTGCGAGCGTCTGGATCTAAATCTGTTAAACACACTCTTTGTGACTCGTGTGCAGGTAGATGAAGCTCTATTGGACGATCTTGACACACCACGTGCTCTTGCACTCATCTTGAATCTCATTTCTCATGGTAATGCGTATTTACTGGCTCAACGAGAAGATTTAGAAGCTCCAGACGAGGTGCTCTTATCGCTTGTGGACTATATTCTTGAAATGCTGGACTTGTTTGGATTAGATGGACTTTACGCAGAGTTTTCAAATTTGATACGCAGTCGTTTTGCTACTTATCGACGAACCATTATGAGTCAAGAAGATCGCGGTAGTAGCTACGAGCACGAGTCTATTCTTCGCTCTTTGGTTGCGTTTCGAGCTTCGGTGCGTCAGGAAGCGCTTCAGGATCCTAAACATCCAAGCAATGCCCGTATCCTTGCGTTGTGCGATGCTTTGCGCAACGAGGAATTGCCTCGATCGGGTGTACAGATCGAGGATCTTGCACCAGGACGCTCGGTGTATAAGTTGCTTTCCCATTCAAAACGACAAGATTGTCAAGCTGAGTCGATTGACAAGAGTTTTCATATTAAGCAACAAGAATTTGAACACTTGATGAAAATTGCTCCCGCTGATTTCTTTAAACTCTCACCAGAGTTTACCGATCGATTTTTCACGTTCGATGAGAAAGGATTTCCAACACATGAGAATGAATTGCCTTTGACAAAAACCCAAATCAAAAAGCTTGCGAAGAAGTTAAAGAAGCACGAAAAGTCGCATAGTAAGTACTGGCAAAGTAGAACTAAGTGTTAGTAGAAGCAGTCGTCATTAAGTTGGTTTACAGATGTGAAGGTCGTGATTTCTCGATCACATTTCAATTCAACTAGCGCATAAATTGTTTTTCAGCGATTAAGAATCGATACTTTTGGAATGATGAACAACTGACAAACATATTCACTGATCCGTTGTTGAGAACGTGATAAGAAACAATAAGTCGCGACGACACAAAGAAACGATAAGCAGAAACCAATGATAAAGTGTTTCTAAACATTATCATTGTGGCTATTACTAACTGCAATGAAAAGTGAGCAAAATCATCGAGCTGCACGAATACAACATCCTATTTTGTGGGATAAGTTTGGGGTGTCTTCCGCTCCGGTCGGTTGAAAATAAACTGATAGAGACCGTACATAGCCGCTCCGACAAGGGCAGTCATACCAGTGTACTTGAGAATCCGCACTATCAGAGACGATTTCTTTGCGAAAGCTTGCTCATTCAAAATTTGACCTTGTTCCAACATTGTTTCAGGGTCCAATCTATGAAAGCGATCATTGATGTTTGAAGAGGATGGCTTGGGAACAGCGGGTGTCTCGGGATCAACGTTTTTCTCGGGAACAGTGGGTATCTCGGGAATTTCTTCATGAGTACGTCCGATAAATTTACTAATGGCAGCCGTAGTTGGCTTGGTTTCGGCGGTAATCTCTTCTATGATCGGCCCGGCGCTTGGCAAACGACGGCCGTGTATATAGGCGGAAGTAGCGATGTCAGCACTGGCGAGACCACTGCTGAATAGAATAAAGGTACCAACAACAAGGTAGCTGAATACGCTGAACTGCATGACGAATGCGATGTTGAAAAGTGAGAGAAAAGTAGTTTTCAAACTGGGGGAATTTTCAAATAGTCAGGACCTCAGCCAGACTGTAGTACCAGTAGCACGTGCGGAAAGCACACCCAATCAAGCCAGAAGATCTTTGCCTATACAGTTAGCTATCCCATAAGGTTATCCTGTATCATCTTTGTCATAAAGCACATCTGGTCCGAGCGACAGATCAAATTGAAAGATTTGATGAAATCTCCAACATTTCAAGCTTCTCGGCTATTCCGTTGCGTTACAATCTTCAGACCTACAAGGTCAAAGGTATACGATACGTTCCTATACCAAGAGAGAATCGCTATTTTCATGCTAATCATTGCGAAACATTCTCACTTAGGATATGTAGCACCTGGTGTCAAAGGTACAGCCAAAAACCTACAAAAACGTGACTATATCTCTTTCTCTTAACCTTACACTCATTCTTTGATGTAATCGCCGGTTTCTTCGGCCATGTTTCTATTTCGATAATACTCAAGAGTTCAGCAGGATGCAATGATTCCAGCTGCTCGATCTGATCGCAGCGAAATAATTAGTTTCTCAAAATTAAGCATAAGAAGAAACCAACACATGGTAAACAAACAAGCTGGAGAATTGCCACCTAATCATTTTGTGCTTGTCGCGGGATTGTTGCTCTTTTAGCGATCAGATAAATGCTCTGACTTCAAATCGGCTCTCGGGTTGGACAAGAGACGATGAAGGTGCGCATGTTGAGATTTGATCAGTGCATCCAACTGGTTAAAAAGACCTAGTGAATAACTAACCAGTCCACAGCGGACAAAAAAATAGTTTACTTTATGTCAAAACTGTAGAATTGAGCTCTTAAACTAATTTATAAGTAGGTTGTTGGTATAGACGGAATAGGCCAAGAAAACAACAACCACATCGACAGCATTGAGCTAAATCAATGCCGCGTTTCCTTAGCCACCACACGACAACTCGCAACGTACTGTGTTGTAATTTATGTATTCTTAATTCGTACTGAAAGTAAAGCCAGAAGTACTGTAGTATAGGTAAAATGATAATACTGGAACGGATGATGGGGGTACTTCTGTCGGAGAGTTCAGTAAGATACTTAAAGCAATGGGCTTGACCGAGTCTGCGTTGCGCACAGATGATCAGCTCGTTCACTTCACTTAGGAGCGAAACTGGGGTGGGAAAGTACTAAGTTCAGTCTATAGATTATCTAATGCTGTTTATAATATAGTTACTATTTGGAATTCAACCTCGGTCCTCTTACCACCTCGTATGTGCGATGTCGCCTCGTCACTGTAACGGGGCTACACGATCCCTAATAAGCAGGTGTGTGTGTCACAGAGATGTGCATGGAGTGACCACACCCAAACAAGAATTCGGTACATATGCATGTATTTAGATTATACTATATATATTTAGTATATTTGAGAAAATCTAAACTTTAAGAATTAGAATAAAAAACAAATAAAAATCAGTTTGAAATTGTCAACTAGCCTTGGGAGGCCAATAAATACTCTTGGAGTAAGCGGATTGCGATCCGCTAACTCTTGTAAAGAACGAAAGGTCGGTGACCTAAAGTACGTTTCCTAAAGCGTTTTGTAACGGCAGCGCCGCTGCATTTGGTAGCACTTGTAGTCAATCTACACCTGAGCCGGCTTGAATGATCCTCTGTGAGGATGGGACAATTTTCCTCTTTGCCCCAGGGCATGCAGGACGGGCTTAACAAGCTGATGTCCCCTGCTTGGCACTGAAGGTGTGCAACATCTTGTAGCACAAGGCTCCGGGAAAATCGGTGCGCGTCTAGAGGCATTTTCGAGTTACGAAAATGCGCTGCTTGATCACCTTCAGCAGAAGATGTCTGCATCGTTTGCGTCTATGACGCCACCGTCGGTGATGAATAACTTCCCTCGACCTAAGCCGCTCCTGGTGAGCGTTAAGGTCTTTGAAGGGAAGGATGCAGAGAATCTCCTATTCTCGGTGAGAGAGGTCGAGATGGCCATCGCATCCGCCATGCTCCAGATCGAGCAGCAGCGCGTGGCGCTAGCAATCTCAAAGCTCGGTTGTCGAGCGCGAGAATGGGCACCGACGTGCGGCACTTCGGTCGGAGATGCGTTTTCTCCCTTGGCGGAGCTGAAATTGCAGCTCTCCCGAGTGTTCTCGCCGCCTAATCAGGCGCATCGCGTGCGGTCGCGTTTCCTTGCCACCCGACAGGGCATCAGGGAATTGGTGGACTTTGC